CAGGAGATTGAAAAACAAAATAAGAGTTTCATTACATGCTGTAAACTGTGTTTATCTGCTGTGTATATGACAATAAGCATCTTGAATCTTGAATCTAGAATCTAAATAGGATGTTTCATCACTTATTGCTAACGTGGTCAGTGTTACACTCTTACCTTTACCTACTGGAGAAAATCTGCAGTGGAAACATTGGATGTCTTCTGAATATCAAGGCCAAGACTCTGTCTGCAATGTTTACAGTCTGACAAGTCCAAGTTGAACATTTCTCCAAACAACAGCAATACCTTTTGTATTGATTTAGGTCCAGACAACCTTTAGGCTAATCTCTATTAGCAGCTATCTTCATATGAATGCAGATAAATTAAAGCTGATGCATTTTGATCAGTTCAATATGGGACACTGTGGGAAGTTCTTGGGAGTTCTTGTACAAACAAACAAAACAATCTATAACCTGTTAATCCCTGAGCCCATCAACTATCATCTGATATCAGATTATCCTTTTTGGGGCTGCGTCCAATATTTTGGGGCTTCCGGTGAAGACAGTGGATGTCCGGGCCAAGACTCTGTCTTCTGTTCACTGTTAAAAGTCTCACGAGTACAAGTGATTTGAAGGTTTCTCATCATAAAGCATAAACAGTGATACTTTCTGTAGGTATTATAGATCCAGACCTTTTGTCTTATCTCTATTAACATCTATCTACACATGAATAGGCCGATGCATTTTAATCAAAGTGTTCCTCCTCTTAAGCTCTCCACACAGACTATTTACCAGCAGGCAAACAACATCTGCTTAAATGTTATTGGTTAAACTGGAAACAAGAAGCAGAAGGCTTCCCGACCCAAAATCTGGTCCCTCGCCTACAGATTCTACACATTCACATGCAGAATTGTCAATGGATTTTAATAATGTGCTAACTATTGAGCTTTAGATGTGCTGGTATAGAATGATTTGGTTATCTTCTGATAAAATCAAGGCTTTCTGTTCCACATGGCGTCTTTTTGTCTTAATGCTAAACTAATCAGCTGATAACTTAATATTCAGCACAGAGGTGAGAGTGGTATATACTGATATCTCTGTGTATTTTCTCCAAACGTCACACAATTGGAGGTGCATGTGCCTCTTGGAGATAATTAAATAAGTATTTGTATTTGAGATATGAATGAATGACGTGGGTTTTTTTTTTTTAGAAAGATGACGTTTTGTGTGTGTGTATGTGTGTGTGTGTAGGGGGGGGATTGAGGGGGGCACATGTTTCCTGGCTACGCCCCTGATATATCAGAGATGGTGAAAGGGAAGAGAGAAGACAGTGAAGAAGGAGGAGGAGGAGGAGGAGGTCTGCGTAAAACTCCGCCTCCACTCTCGGATCCTTGCGCTTTCCTTATTCACAGCCTCTCACGTTGAAGATAGAGAGAGAAAGAGAGAGAGAGAGAGAGAGAGAGAGAGAGAAAGGAGAAGAAGGACACAACACAAAGAATTAAAAGGAGACGAGGAAAAAGCCAGAGGACGAAGAAGAACACGGGGGGAGCAGCGGAACCACCATGGCAATGTCCAGAGCGTCTCAGCCTGAGATGGTGTCCGAGTACAGCGCACCTCTGCCTGTGTCGACCCCCTTACGGAGCCTGCAGTCGCACAATAGACAGAGTCCGGATGAATGAGGCTCCGCTGCACCTGGGCCGCGGACAAAATGCGGGTCATCTTCATCCTAAACGCCGGTTTCGTCGCAGCTTTCTCGGCCCCCGTAGACGTGAGTCGGTGATGTCGGCAGCGTGTAGGATGACAGATGAGCCAGAATCAGACAGATCGTGCCAGTCAGTGAAAGAGTGACGAGATAAGACCCATTTATCCATTTTATTATTATTATCATCATTATTATTATTACCGGAGGAGGGACGTCATTTTTAAAGGAGCCTGCTGCGCAGACCTGAATGCTTGTGTTATCACAATATTGGCACTAGAGTTCATGTGTATCAGGCTCCATGATTATGTATCAGGTTATTATAGACCGATAATAGACTCCTCGTGCTTAATCCATTAGTAGATTGATTATATATCGATAATAACATGACTAGGTAGGAACCAGCTTTGATCAAAGCCAAATGATCAACCAAGACAATCTGGAAATGTTTCCACGTGTTTTAACATGACTAGCAAGCTACGCATTATTCCTTGTAATTTATTTATTTATTATAACTATTATTAGGCCTATAAGTATTATATCATCAAGTAGGTAGTTTGAAATATATATTTTTTAACAGCAGGGGTAGGTTGTTAAAACGCTTCCCCATATAGTTGATATGGAAACCGCATATTTATCGCCCCACCGGGGGGCAACCCGGCCCGAGTTCCCGGGAGCCGGGCAAACTTCAGCGGGCAAACCGGCGGTGGGCAGTGGTGGTGGTGACCTCTCCCGTACGCCACCTCCAGCTGCTCCGCCGCCCGGCGAGGACGTCCCGGGGAGCGGCGACGGGCGACGCAACTCGGGTGTGAAGAAGCACCACCACAAGCACAACCTGAAGCACCGCTACGAGCTGCTGGAGACGCTGGGGAGAGGCACCTACGGGAAGGTCAAGAAGGCCATCGAGCGGCACTCCGGCAGAGAGGTGAGCCACTCGAGGAGAAACATCTGTCATGATTCCTCTAACATGCCCTGACATAAGATCCTCAGGAGCTGCACATGTGGAAGTAGACAACTGGACTTGCTTTCATTTCACCTCTCATCCAAGAGGCTTCTTCAGTTCTGTTCAGTTTCTTCTTTAGCCATTTCTTAGATAAAGAAGAAGCATTTGGAAAATAACTGAAGAAGCCTCTTGGATAAGAGGTGAAATGTCTTCAAGAAACAAGTCCGGATGCTCTCGTGCACTTGTTCAACTCCTGCAGAGCCAGTACTTCTTGTGTGCATGCATGTTTTTGTAAAGCTCCCCAGTCCCCACTGCAAACATCAGTGGTCCTAAAATAAGCGCTTTGTTGCTCTCAGAGGCGTGTGCGCCTCCTGCCCCCACTGGGAGTTCCCCTCATGGTCAAAAATGCTCCCATGGGGCCAGGGAGCAGTGGCTGCACATGCCTGCTCCAAAGCAGGGCCACACGACCGGATGCTAGAGTGCAAATCCGGCTACTGACTAATGCGACTCCAGTGGCCCCAGTGAGCATCATGAAAAAGTTACTACAGCTTCCCACTCACATTGTCCTTGCGGTTTTTCGAAACATTTTAGACCCAGTTTTTGCCCTTTTGGTTTTGTTTTGATTCCACTGTGAGTGTGTGTGTGTTTGCTCTGTGCAGCCCACCACTGCCTGTTTCTTTCATGAAATAGTTATTAGTTCACTCAACCATAATAAAGCCACCATCTGCAGATGTCTCCAAAATATTTGCATGTGTGCCAAACTTTGACCCCCCATGCCCAACCTGGCAGGACACGAGGAACTTTCCATGTGCTGAGAATGTCAGGGGTGGAACTTAGTATAGGTCAACAATGTCCCCCAGTGGTTTCATAGCTCCTTGTACGCATATGTACTTGATGGGGAGGGGGGGTATAAATCCTCTGGTAGTGCTCGCTGCCTCTCTCTTGGCACATTGTCCTTTTCTTCTGTATGTTTTCCTGTTCATTATTTCCATGGCAGCAACACAAATGTGAAGTATTTCACTTTCGGTTGCATGGTAACATTGCACAATGTTTAAGTGCTGGACAGGTCAAAGCGTCCTGTTTGGACATGAGAGATATAAAGATACTGTTTCCCTGAGATAACTCTAGCTGACTCAAAGTGTTGGTTGTAGATGAGTTCTTTTTTTTAAAGGAGTAACAATCTTTGACATAAACTCTAGATTTGTTTACAATTTAATGTTTCTAACATAATGCAAGAAAGCACACCTTGTTTGCCTTGTTTGATGCCAAATACACAAAATACACACACACACAAATACTTCATTGTAGGTCAGCACTCAGGAGCCCAACTTCTTACATTCTCCCATTATCTGCATCACTGCTCCAAGCATAACAATCAGACTTAAAGTAAGAGCTCAGTAAAGTATGGGGCTTCCTTGGATGACTGTGTTTCACGTGGGAGTTTGTATATCTAAGTCAGGGAAGCCCTAAAAGAAGCAGCACCTCTGCACATCGAGCGTGACTGTTGGCCACCCCACGGGCCACGTGTGTCTGGCACTGCATTGCTAGAGTTTACTTGACCTCTGACCCAGTGGAAGTCCCTCGCGTCCATATGGCAGATAGAGCAGCGTGGCAAGGCTGTTATGCAATCATCTTGACTCCCTGTGCCGTATCCTGGCTCGCACCACAAACCAAATGAGAGGAGCAGAGATAACTCGGCGAAGACGCAGACTGAGGAAGTACTGTGCGTGACTGTGTACACACAAGTGTGGAGTACACTGAAGGCACTGGAGGAAGATTGATTAGATGTGGGCACATTCAGCGTGTCAGTGAAAGTGGAACTGAGTGACTGTCTGCTTTAATCTGCAAAGCCATATGTAGGGCCACTTGGCAGCCTCATGGAAACCCAGCATTAAGTGAAGTGCAATTGATCATAGAGATCATAGAAGGGATATGTGAAACATGCGCAGGCTCATGTGTTTGTGCGTGCCTCTAGACAATGTGTTCCATGTTTGTATACGCGTGAGAGAGATAGAAAGAGACGTGTGCGTCGTGGTGTATTATTTGCCATCTAGATTACGATAATGAAAAGGTTGTGGTGGCAACCAGGCCTAAAATGGGCAGTGACACATGAAAGGCCATCCACAGCAGGAAATGAGATTGGAGGGGAAGGTTAATATCCTGTATGGGGGGGACCCATCACAGAGAAGGGGTGGGCAGCACAGAGACACAGGGAAACCCACCACCAAAACAAGAGAGGGATGGCCTCAGTTAAAGCGGTCAGGGAGTCATATTAATATGAGCTTAAAGCACCAGATTACATCATTCTCCAACAATGGATTCACAGGAGAGGTACGGGAGAGGTGAAAACACAGACATTCCTCAGCTATATGTGGTGCTGTTGATGAGGTATTATGATTCCTGGCTGTGTTTGAGAATATATAGTTTCCTGGAAGAGTTTTTACTCTTTCCTTTTACCCCCAAACTCTGACTCAGGCACGCGGTCTAGATAAAAAATGATCACGATCTTTAGAAAATGCAGGGATGAGCGAGCCTGTGATGAATACTTCATCTATTTTAATGGCCTGAGAAAGCTGAGGAAGACGTCAGGCTCCGCTGAAGCGAACATGGACTTTCACTTCAAACTAGGTCGGTTGTGAACAGGGGCGTGGGGGGTGGGGGCAGACGAGATGGGCCCCATACCTGGCAGTGGCTAGTGTGGGCAGTAGTGCGGCGCCTGTTTACTGTGAGTGACAGTAATAGGGATCCACTTAAGGACAAGCGTAGCTGTGTCAGCCGGCCCGGCCAGCTGGCAAGTGGCTGATCTGCAGTCCTGTTTAATGATCCACATTGGGGTCAGGGCAGGCGAACATGAGGAGATTCACAAGAGATACCTGGCTTTGTCTCAAGCTCTCTGTGGGGGAGCTGGCTCTAACAATGAGTGTGGAATTAGGACCGTGGATGTTAAAGATTGATTACTACCCTTTTAGGAGACAACATCATTTTGGTTTTAGGCAGCATTCATACAGAAACATTTCACTTGCCTCTGCTCTGTCACATCTTAACTGTTCCCTAATTTTAACGAATTCTTGACTAACATTCTGCTTCTCTGATGAGCACCAACGTCAAAAATGTTGCTCACGTTTTGGAAATAAAGTGCTGATGATTCTAATGAGGTTAAGAAAACATCAGTGTTAAGGCACAAACAACTTATAGCTATTATGAACACAGCATGCTGACCCCCATCCCAGACTCCAGCTTGTTTGTTATGGTATCATTTCTTTGAATTCTGTTTAATCAAGGCATGCTCTGGAAGGGAACTATTCCGGTTTGGGGTTATTTTTATTGTTGTACACGGTAATTAGCTTGGCACTCTGCTACTGCCTGTGGTTTCTTCTGCATGGAATGAAGCTGGGCTCCTCAGAAAACACAGCTTAGCTAGGAGAGGACAAAAGTTTAAACTAACAGAATTTAGAGCGGACCGACTCTATACAGGCCGGATCAAAGCGAAACCCAGGACTCAATCCAAAATGTTTAGGCTACAATTATAGTGACATGTGCTGCACTGTGCTCTTGATCCATTTATTTGGAGAAGGCCGCTAACCTCTCATTTAAGAAGTGCACAGGCTGGAAGTTTGAATGCATGCAGTTGCGGTTGACTTGTACTCCGGTGGCATTGCCATGACAGTGAAAAGCTGTCAAATCAAGTGCAGTTGAATCAGTTGCAGCTAACCCCTGTTGGCAAGGCAAGGAGACTGAATGGCTTCCCCAAGCCCTGCTCACTCTCCTCTGATTTCTCCGTAAAACTCCCAGCAGGCCAGATTCTCAAAAGTAGGCCATTGGCCGTTCCTAATCAGAATAAGTAAGAATAAGAGAGCGGCTACTGGTTTAGTGCCCTCTCAAGGCCTTTTGAACAGCCGAGGAAGCACAGCTGTGCAGGTTGATACTGACATCAGATTTATGGAGGAGCTCTGACATCGAGGCCTCCCTGCCCTCTTACAGAAATCATGAACGTTTAACACCTTTCTCACCTCAGTTTCATGATGGGCATGGTCCTCACTAGCGCTATGGGTGGCAATGTTACTTAAGGTCCACTACTAGGATGCAGACTGAAATAACATTTGACTGGACATTAATATGGTCCAGGAGGTGAGGTGTACTGCCACAGGCACCATCAGAGGCTTTTGTGGTTTTGAATAAAACGCCTTCACAACTATTGAAGGATTGCCATGATATCAAGACATCGAATGTAGACATTCATTGCTCGTGGATTGTAATCATTTTGGTTTTGGGTACTTTTCCTGTAGCCTGATCATCGTGCCAAAAACACTTGGCTTAATGGTTAAATATCACCAGTCTCAGTTGTGCGTTGTTTTTGATTCTAATTACAAACATTACTGAAAATGGTGAACATTATACGTGCTAAACATGCTGACATTAGCAATAAGCACAAAGCATGTGTGTGTCTGAGTAGTAGCAGAATATTTGTGTACTACAGCTGCACTCGGGTAGACGGCTGCTATGGAAACCACTGTGTTTTACCATGCGAGTCTGCCTTCTGATCTCTCTGTTAGAGAAGAGTTGGGGGCTCAGATCATAGGTCCAGCCCAAACACTGACTAATACTTGGTTAAATGTAGGCTCTCGCCCTGAAAGAGTACAAAGCAAGCCTCCATTATGGCTCCACGTGTCACAGGTTGTTTTTCTCCCCTTCATTTCGTTTCATCCAGCGAGGAGACTGAGTAAATTACACAGTGTGAGAAGATGATACCTCTCTTTGCTTGACTCATCTGGCTGTCATGTCAGCGAGGCTTGGTGATGAGGTCAAAGGTCGCTATACTAGCCCCATAGGACCCCTGAGAGGGGGAGGTAAATGAGGCAGATGAAGTACACAGAGTTTATTAGAGAAAGAGATGAAGCAATAAGCTACTCACTGAGTCGGCCCACATGTTTATACAGATATAATGAATGTGTTGTCTTGTAGTATTTTTTCTCTGTTTTTATTTTAATTAAATTTCCCAAATTTAATCAACTTATCTAAGGGAAAGGGGAAGCTGTTTCACATGATGCGTGTAAGCTGTGTTTTACTGAAGATTTGTGCTGATCAAAGTCTCCTCTTTTTGTTCCAGGTGGCAATCAAGTCCATTCGGAAGGAGAAGATCAAGGATGAGCAGGACATGGTTCACATTCGCAGAGAGATCGAGATCATGTCATCGCTCCGCCACCCACACATCATCTCTATATATGAAGGTGAGGCTCTGCTGCATGACACACACACGACAAATAATATACGTTTGTTTGACTGACAACGCGCATAAACAAAAACACACATCCAAAATCCAGCCCTCCCTCAGCTCATCCAGCACTCGGGGCTTAAGCTGCAGGATTGTCGTGTTATGACATGCAGATGTCATAATAAGACCTGGACTGCAGTTCTGGGATGTTATTCATCTTGTGTCTGGCCGCCTGGGCCAGTAAAAGTCTGGATCACTTTCAATGCATGTGTGCTCGTGTGTGATGAAAGTTTGTGTGCATAAGAGAGGTGGTATTCTAAGGGATTGCCTCTCCCACATCTGAGAGGTCGCATCCCTTGTCTCCTCTGGTCTTGATCTCAGGGCCAGACATCTGCGGATACTTAGGGACAACTGCAGCTGGGAACCAGACTCTATTTGTCCGGTGTGTGTGCGTGTGTGTG